TCTATTTTTGTATATAAGCCCTGCAAATAATTGCAGATAGATAGAGATAGAGACAGATAATTGAATCAAGCGAGTGGTAGTGACGGTAATATAAAGTGTGTGTTTTGTTATCGAGATTCCATACGTATTGACTGTGGAAATTCTTTGTATTGCAAAGTTGTATTGAGAAAGAATAAACTAGTTTTATTTAAGAAAGGACTTGTATCGCTGAAGTTCATCGGAAAGAAATTATACCGGAAATTAACAAACGAACAGAGACGTAACAATATATTCGAAAACACAGGTAAAAAGAAGTTTTACAAATCATAAAAAAATTCCCAGCTACATTAGTGTCACCCAAATTTTCGTTAGCGAACTAATATCGTCTGCGAACTAATATTTGCAGAACATTAAGGGAGTTATATAACGGCACGAGTTGGTCCTGTGGAAGAGCTCTGGAATCAGGAGCTGGCGAGTTTAAGCTGTGACTACATTGTAAGAGTGTCAATTCAATTCCTTTGCTTGAGTGGAAGAATATTGTTGTTCATCAATTCAAAATTAAGGACGACAGCTGGTATTCTTAGTAGTTTTGTCATAAATACAAAAAAAAAGTTAATTCAATAAACTTCATACAAACACCAAAAAGGATTTTGTCAAATAGAAACCAAGAATCAACTTATTAAAACTTAAGAACTGCATGTAATTTTATTACTCTCCATTACTTTGGTACGTGCAAAAACACTGTAAGTTGCGTATGATCATCTACAATTATGAATTCACATCAACGTCAAATACTTACATTAAAATATTTTCTAAAGGAAAATTAAAGATTGAAAGGTTTGAGTAAAATACAGCGAAACTTAACTCTTAAGCAAAAACACAAAGGCATTATGTGAATTTGAAATGTGATAACATTTTGTTTTGTTTGTTTTTGAATTTCGCGCAAAGCTACACGAGGGCTATCTGGGATAGCCGTCCCTAATTTAGCAGTGTAAGACTAGGGGAAAGGCAGATAGTCATCACCACCCACCGCCAACTCTTGGGCTACTCTTTTACCAACGAATAGTGGGATTGACCGTCACATTATAACGCCCCCACGGCTGAAAAGGCGAGCATGTTTGTTGTGACGGGGATTTGAACCCGCGACCCTCAGATTGCAAGTCGAGCGCCCTAACCACTTGGCCATGCCGGGCCAACATTTTGTTTGGAGCTTGATCTGAAGCGGACGTTTTGGAGAGAGACATATGAACAATCACACGATTTGATACTAGTTGATATAGGAATACAAAAATACGAAACACTATCCTAAGCACTTTCAAAAAGTAGACCTTTCTTCAACAGGTACTAAGTATTATAGGGTTTCGAATTTTTGTATTTAATTCAATTTTTGAATTACGCGTTTTCCTAAAATTATGAGTTGATATAGGAAGTCATTGTTGTGAAAAACGTTTTATAGCAAAACAAATCGTTATTGAACTTTTGCCATGACAATCTGACATGGATGTGTGTAATAATGTAGATATCTTATTGTTTTTTTACTTTAATTGTAGCTTAACTTTATATATATATATATGTGTGTGCGTCTCTATTTTTACTAATATCTTGAAGCTATCCCTTATGATGACACTACATACATTTTAATGTGTATATAATGACAAGGTATATAAATAATTTTTCAGGCTGGAGCCAGTGTCCCGAGCCTGATGGATATTTTCCAGATACTAGACAGTGCGATCGTTACTTCATTTGTAGAGAAGGGGTTATCAGTGAAGGGCTCTGTCCTGACGGTCTGGCCTTCAACGATAAAACTTCGTACCTTTCTCCTCGCTGTGATTTCGTTCTCGACGTAGACTGTAGTACGAGGCCGGAACTTCGTAAGTCATTTCTTTTTGTTTCTTAAAAGTAGTGGCGTAACGAACGGGGGGGGAGGGGGCGTCTGCCTCGAGCAGCACATTTTGCAGACGGCAAATTTGTTGCCAACAACGGTTATTTAACCCTTTTGGTTCTATAATCGCGAAAATGCGATTGTAGAATTAGTGCTATTAGATGCGAAAATTGCACTTCTTGTATTACAATTTCTATGGCCCAAACCGCTGGGAAAATGGACCGCCAAGCCGCGTACACACTGCCATCTATTAGCGACATTAGTAAACATGTGTTTGCTTACACTCATCAGCTGTTCCACCCATGCTACCAAACGGGCCACACGCTCCCATATCTTTGAACTTTGACCGTACTATAGTTAAGTTATATGCACAATAACGATATACAGAGTAAGAGTTTATGGTTCATAATATAAAGAAAACACAATGAATAAATATGTAAATTGTTGTTTTTATGAGAAGTTCGTGGGGATTTTTCACTGTCTTATAAGTATTGTTTTTGCATTCCCTACTCTGCGTATATTTTATCCGTATTTCGGCCATAATATATGTAACTTAGATCATTATATGACCAATAACATTATGTTATACAGTGTAAGAGTTTATACTCCATAACATAAGTACAATGATCTGGATATAACCAATATAGCCTACTTCAGACATCAGAATGTGAGATCGAGTTAGATGTGGCAGGGTACACAACCCTGATTGGGGGTCAGGAGACCTTAAGCTAATGTCTCGGTTACCGTTTTTTTTCGGAATATAAGACGCACCCTTATTTTGAAGACAAAGTTTTGGGGGAAAAAAAACTACAGTCGCATTTGAAATATTTTTATTAA